ATGTACAGTCAGATGAAGTGTATAAAAATCTTATCACAGCATGTACAGTCAGATGAAGTGTATAAACATCATATCACAGCATGTACAGTCAGATGAAGTGTATAAACATCATATCACAGCATGTACAGTCAGATGAAGTGTATAAACATCATATCACAACATGTACAGTCAGATTACACAGTAAGGTTTTGTGTATAATCATCACAACATACACAGTCAGGTGGTATAAATGTAAGCAAGGTTTTACTCTAGAGTATAGTATAGGATAGGATTAAATACACTGGTAGGGGTTCAAATTCACAAGGGAGAATCATCCTGACACTAGAGAATTTCAGCCCCCGGATAAAAAATAGTGTAGCATAATATTCACTCTTACATAAACATCATATCACAACATACACAGTCAGGTGTTGTGTATAAAACGTCATATCACAACATACACAGTCAGGTGTTGTGTATAAACGTCATATCACAACATACACAGTCAGGTGTTGTGTATAAACGTCATATCACAACATACACAATCAGGTGTTGTGTATAAACGTCATATCACAACATACACAATCAGGTGTTGTGTAAAAAACGTCATATCACAACATACACAGTCAGGTGTTGTGTATAAACGTCATATCACAACATACACAGTCAGGTGTTGTGTAAAAAACGTCATATCACAACATACACAGTCAGGTGTTGTGTATAAACGTCATATCACAACATACACAGTCAGGTGTTGTGTATAAACGTCATATCACAACATACACAATCAGGTGTTGTGTATAAACGTCATATCACAACATACACAATCAGGTGTTGTGTATAAACGTCATATCATGCCAAGCATCTTTTCCACTATAATCATGTCCTTGGAAAATATTTTATAATGTGACTGGTATATATGTAATTATAAGTGTTTCTTCTTGCGAGTATACTTGCACCTCTGATAAAATTAAAACAATAAGTATAACAGCCAATTATCTGGGGCTGGGACAGGTAACTTGGGTACTCGAGTCGGGTCGGATAGATACAGAAAAGGACCTGGATACCCACAGGACTACCCGGACCCATGGTTTGTCATGTGATATATTGTTTAATGACAAAAATAATCAAGAACTCTATGGTTCCACTACAAGTCACTAGTGTCCACATTTCTTTCTGACTATGCATCCATTCCTTCTGACTTTTATATGTTTGAATAAAGATAAAACTTCAGTCAACTTCAGTGTATGACCAGATCGTTTTATACGTGTATCTAAATACATTTTGACCAGGGCTACGGTCAAACTATTCCTAATCGGACATTTAGGACCTATCTCTATAGACCAACATGGAGTGACACAGTTTTCCCAGACAACTGGACAACACGTAACCAGGTCGATTTTTTGTTGAAGCAGTAGCGTTCTCTTGTCATGCCAAGGCCCAGGGACGATTCCCTCCCATGGGTGAAGCTGTTGTCTCATGCCCCCTGCTGTGATGTATTGAGAATATTGCTGTACTCACTGATTGTGTCATCATACCAAGGTTGTCCCATCCATTTTTAAACATGGCCACCATGACGGCCATATTGCAAATGTTATTTTTGGCCATAAAAGCCATTTCTGCATGTATCATTATGCAATCTGATATGCAGCAGGTATGAGGTTTTCAGTACAACAAATAATATGTTCTTCGGTTTGGTTTGATTTTTTGAAAACCTACGACCTTTGATTTTTATGTACCCGTTTTTCTAGTGTTACTGCATTTTCAACATCTCTTTTGAAACTACAAGGTCTATGAAGTTGCGTGAATGATTTTTGCTATGGTGTCCCTTAAAATTGCTGACAGAATTTTTATATGATATTAAAAAAGCCTGCACTGAAGCCATATTTAGAAACACATTAATGGTTATTATTATGCCATCCCTGCGGCTGCTGTTGCTTAAGCATCAAGGGAAGGGACCTACAGCACTTCAAAGAAGGATTTTTTTCTTCTAACTGACAACTTAAAAGGAACCATGTGACTCCCCATAACCCTTGCACTGACCTTTGCAATTGAAAGACCTTTACACTTCTACCATTCTCTTATATATATTCTATATTCTCCTCTGATACCGCTTCACTGATGAAGCTAGAGTTTGGAATGCAGGTTCCTTCTTATGAATACATCTGATCATTTTCAAATCACTGTGCTTTAATTGCTATTCATTTGGGTTAAAAATCAAATTTTAAACAAATCTAAAAAATCTTCTTTTTTAAAAAAAACATAGGGCACAGGGCTTAACTTTGGGTAAATGGGAATGACTAGGAGAAGATCAAGGTTTCACTATTTGCTCTCAATCAACATTATTTTTCTAGAACTTTAGCACACATATTTCTTTATCTCAAAAAAGATGTTTGGTCAAAGGAATCTGATATGATTGAAATGTCATAACATTATTTAATCACGATCAACAGTCTCTTTGTACAATCCTATTTTTATCTTGAAAATAGTCCATGTTTCAAGTGCAATGCTTTCCTCGCTTTCACTCTATATCATATTGGGACAGTACAAAAACAAAAATCGATGAATCTAAAGTTAGTTATCTGTCTGTCAGATAGCTACAGATTGGCCATAAAGTCTTCCCAGTGAATGATGGCACAACTGGTTGCAGCAATTGGTTGGCTGTGGGAAAACACGACAAAATGTGACATTCTGCATCCCTGTAACTTGAATGAAGAAGTAGTTTTGACACAATGGAAATTCATCATAATTTTTCAATCAATGTCTTTGATTTTATTGTTGTTCCTCATATCTGAGAAAATCTGAATTGCTGATTCATCATTACAGTTCTCGATGAAATATTTGTATTTTGATAACAAGTGTTTTCTGTCAAACTATTCATTTCAATGAGGATTTTAGTGTTTAGATTTTAATGTAGCATGTAAATGAATATCGCCAAGATGCCGAAGGATGACAAACAGAATTTACTGTTATGTTAAATGATTCCGAGGAGATTGTGAAAGTGCATTTTGGGCATCAGTGACAGAAGCATTGTCAATCGACTGATTGATGAGAGAACTTCTAATGGCCCCTACCTTGGCGCCCAACGTGAGGCTGAGCTTGTTCATATTAAATTTGAACAAAATAAGCCTCAGTACCCTACTATGCGGCCCGGGACGTGCCTTCTGTTGACGGGGGAGTATGTAGCAGGGCGTGGAGTCATCCTACAGATGACATCCTTACCTTGTCAGCTTGCTGACGGGGTTAACCTCTTTGGTCATGTGGACAAGGCGTCCGACCTCTGATCAGAAGGTCCGTGGTTCGAATCCCATCATGGGACTCGGAAATTTTATGGCCGCCACAATTGCATCAGCATCTTCATGGGTGGAGACATATTCTTGTTGTACTCAATTCTATGTTTAGCTCACAACCATGTGGGGCTTTCCCTTTTGTTATATTTTGTATAAGTTTTGTAGAGATGTTATGATGGCCTAATCTCACACATTTCATCTTACCATCCTGCAATGTTATATTTCATGGAGATATGACTGTGTTGGAATAGAGCCATTGGCTTATAGAGAAATTGCAAGAGGTTCCACCACATATGATTAGCTAACCAAACAGTTTCTCTGGTGTTTATGTTTGCATAAATTGAAAACAAATTAGACCATGCCCACCAGCAGACTACTGTTTTCTCATTGGCTGATAATAGGGAGGGCGGGGCTTGGGTGGCATCACTGTGCTGAAAGATGTCACTGATTTCGTATCATTGTCTGCAGGTTTTTGTGTTTATGATTAAATATTAATGAATAAATTATATATTTATAAGAATTGATGGGGATTTATACAGTATGCACACTGTTTTGTACGTAATGCGAATTTACACTGTGTGCTTGCTGGCTTTACATTTATACCTCTATAAACATACAAAATAGTCAAGTCTTAAGCAAAACAGACAGGTTACCTCAAGAAACTGGTCAAGTGCAGGGAGGGTATTATTTCTTATCAGGCGACTTTCAGGAAACATTACACCGACCCGTGAGGATCTGGGGTAGAATAGGTCTTCAGAAACCCATGCTTGTTGTAAGAGGCGACTAATGGGATCGGGTGGTCAGGTTCACTGACTTGGTTGATGCATGTCATTTATCCCAATTGTGTGGATCGATGCTCATGATGTCAGTCACTAGATTGTCTGATCCAGACTCAATAATTTACAGACAGCCGTTATATGGCTGGAATATTACGGAGTGCGGTGTTAAACAACAAAACAAAACAAACATTACACCGGATGTATGCTTGAAGAAGTTATCAAATGTTTCAAATGATTTTGCTATCTTCACAACTATTTGTTTGATTTGTTTGGTGATACTGTGTGTTATTTTGTTCTAGACCTTGTTGTTACATTCATGTTCAGTAAGTCACTGTTGTAGGAGCTTTTATTCATTATATTCATTTTGAATTTCTTCTGTTCATCTTTTCTGATTTGATTTGCTGCTGTTTTGTGTATTTCCCACTTTATTTTGAATGTTGAAAGTATCCATAAATATGTCTTGAACTTATTCAGAAATATGATATTGCTAAGATATACAATATACATCTGACAAGGTTTGTGATGTCATGTATTGAGAATGGTGTTCAGCTGTTTCCTCGTTACAATTAGGGTTTTATGTGCTCTTTGAAAACATATGGTTATTAGGACATTCAAGTTTAATGACCTTGTAGGTGTTTAAGGGCTTTGTCTTTTAAACACCTCCGTAAAACTTAATGTGTTTGAATGATGGGCGAAGGTGTGTTCTTTAATGCATGTATTTCTCTGTAGATAAGTTTTTAGGAAAACATTATCCTTACTTCATGTGAGCCTTGAAGTTCTTTTAGTATTGTGAAATTAGAATACTATCAGCTAAATAATGCTAATGCTAAATATGAAGATTTTTTAGAAATTTTAGATTGAAAATGAACATTCCTGAGTATATTTTCAACATTCACTCCCCATTTTGTGTCAGCTTTTGTCTCAGTTTGTTTCTCCTTTTTTTGCTTTTTAGTGAGCTGTTCCGTACCGGTCCACGTCCAAGACGTCGTGATGGCAAATCCAGCCAAAATGACATCAGAGGTTCTCAAAATATGAATGAGAAAAATGCCGAAATGGACGCCCTATACAAGCAGTGCAACCAGTCTACAAATGACCTGAATAAAGACCTCGAAAAAGTCCCTGACCACATGCAGAATGTACGTCTACTGCATGGAATAACGGCTGATGAACGTCCCTCAAGGAGTGCTTGTCCCCATGTGTCGCAAAGATTTTACGCATGTTTGTTTTGTCCAAAAAATCATGAAAATTCAGAAAATGAACTGAATCAAGCTAACCTTACTAATGAGAGCACTGAATTGACCATACGATCAGCATGCCTTTCCAACCGTGAACTCGATCTAGATCTACCTTCCCCCGTGTTGTATTCTAACATAGGAGAGTTGCAGTTTCACTCCAGCATGTTAGAAGACATAGACAGACACAATGTTCCCAGTAGGTCTTCAGTAGATCGTTGGAATGAAGACAATTCCTTAACGTCACACTTTGAACACGACTCCTATGCATGCAGCCTTAATACAACTCAGAGTTTTGATCGTGAAACTAACAAATCAAGTGATTCAAAGTTGTTTGGAGACGACATTCGGCGTGATCCTAGTCTAGTTAAGATGCAGAGTCAGGACTCTAATGATGAAGCAGTGTTGTCTTTGTATGCATTGCCACATAAGTCTCGTGTTGCCGTGCACTCTCCCGAAGACAATCAGGAGCTGGGAGGAAGCACGCTAGAACCTACCACTCACTTGTGGCACAAAACGCTCAGGCCTGTGAAGCCGTCGTATGGTGCAAGAACCAGAGATGAACCCAGCTTGGACAAGAGGAGTTCCCATGGCGGACCTCCTCCACCAGTTCCTCCACGGCAGTACAGTGAAAGGAGCTCCCCGAATGGGAGTGCGGAAAGACTTGATGTCCACAGCCTAAGTGCAGGCAATATCTGTGATATGGACAGGAACTCACGGCGAGGAGCTGCACAAAGATCATTTTGGTCGCCCCAGATAAAAAATGATCGGACACATCCCCTTGACACTCGTGAATCCCACAGTGTGAAAACTATCCCTGTGCTTAAAGTCAATGGGGAAATAACAGTGGACAAAAAGGAGACAACTGTTTAGTGTGTCCATCACACAGCATCATATGCTTCTGTTGTAACAGATATATACTACTCAAAAAAGAAGTTAAGGAACACCCAATTCTGTCATATAACTATCATTAGGGACTGGTCATGGATATATTATAGGGAGAGTCATGTAAAAGTGACACACTTAGATTTTTTTCAACAATTTTTTTTAGCAATCTGAACATTATTTAGTATGATGTGTGTGGTGGGTGTCATGAAAAAATGTTACATGTATTTTTTTGTATTTTGTTTTGGGTTTGTTTGTTTGGTGTTTTTTTTTTTTTTGGGGGGGGGGGGGGGGGGGGTGGCGTCATGAAAAAGACCATTCCAACCCCAAACCTGAAAGAATCGGGTGTTCTTTAACTTCTTTTGAGTAGTAAATACTGAGGGATGACTAAGGGGACACTTAAAAATAGACCAAAAAAATCACAGCTGCATTCAATTATGGATGATTCATCAAGAAACGCAACATTAGTGAAATGTCAGTATTGTTTGTGTCATCATATTACAGACAGAAAACATCATTTTAAGGTGAAGTGGAGTTGCCCAGTGGGTGAAGCACGGCTCATGACACCGAGGGTACAATATCTCTCAGGTGTCTGCCTTAGCGGGAATCTAGCTGCAAGGGTGGCCAACCTTGACATCCTCATCTTGCTAGTTATGGACAGCAGATGGAAAACATTAATGTCATTCAACATTGTCATCAAAACATCAGACTCCATCATACATTTGTTAAATATTTTCATATTAATTCAGTTCTTGGTCTGTAGATTAAATGAAAAACACTCCATAGTGCTATAAATGTAGGGACTTGATTGTAGGAGATTTCCAAGCTTGATTTTACTTTGAGTCTGTAAGTCTTATTAATATAATATTATCATATGTTGTTTTTTTAAAGTAACTTAAAAAGTAGTTTTGGAAAAAATACTACTAAATAATGATGTGATAAATTAGAGATTTCATAACACAATACAGTAAACTACTGTTATAATGAACTCAAAGGACCACTACATTTAGTTTGTTAAAACCTGATTTCGTTATAAGCACATTCAGCATATGGACAGGACCAAAAACAACAGTTCGGTATATCTGCCAGTTTGTTATAACCGTGTTCATTATAAACGTAGTTTACTGTATATAATTTGTATGGTGCTAATTACAAGCTAGTGTTGTCCACACAGTGATAATAAACCGATTCATGTGTGAGTTTTAATCCAATGAATCTTCTTGCAGTCTAGACTAGTACCATTATTAGCTGGCTTTTCAGCTTAGTAATGACTCCTCCAGATAAAACTGCTGCTGTGTGTGTAGATAGGAACGTATCATACTGACTGTAGCTATAGTCCAGATAGTGTTACTGGGTAGAAGAAGTTTGTACCTTAAATAGAAATGCTCGCAATGTGATCTTTTAGCTGTATGACGATCCAACTCCATACTCTAACATAGTCGAACGTTCAATGATCTGACAGAACGCTATGATAATCCAGGAAACCAATCATACAAAAGTAATGTTGATCTTTTAGTTTATGTTCTCTTTGACACAGTTATTACTGGCAAACACAAATGTGTCAAAATGTGTCACCAAAGATTGCCAACTTCTATGACCTAAATGACGTGATCAGACCTCCCTTAACAAAGAAACGTCCCAAACAATGCCACATCAAACAGTGCGGGACTCACACAGACTTCTAGGCGTTGATAACAAAACTATTTGTATGTAACCATCCATACTTGTACAGCTTCTGAATCGTCTGTGTTAGTTACAGTTAAGCAAACAAGTAAATGTTCTTTGATAGTTTATTGTAGAATTAATAACTATAGGTCACAATTGACATGTATGCATAGATTAGATTAAATATGTGTTATTAATTAAGTGATGTTTGGACAAAAATTGTGATCTATATTTTCCCTGACTCTACTTATGTATTGTTGGTACAAGAATGACTCAAAACAATTCCTATTAAGTAAACGAGAAATATGATTTTGATTTTAATCTTTTAAATACCTAAATTTGGTGAGAAAATAAAACCATGCAAACAATTATTGCCAACAGGCATATCCTTTCTTTGACAATAAATATAAATAATAACAAATAATGGGGCTGGATTAGAAAACATACTTGTGTCTTGTTTGAAATAGACTGAGACCTTCAGAGGTGAGACCATGTTTCTTCAGAAAATATGCCTAGCATTCTTTACTAGGAACAATATAAATTTGATTTGAAGAACTGAAATTAACAGACATTAATACTGAAATAAATACTGTAAATCTGGAAGGTTTTGCACCATGAAATGACTGCAAGTGGCTAATAATAACTGTTTGATTGGCATTCTAGAAGTTGGTGAGTAAGAAAATGTACAACTTCATGGATAACAACTTCTGGTTTATTGCGTATAGCGGGGTTTCGATGTAGATTCTTACACTGTTATCAAGCTGGAGAGTCAACAACCAAGTGATGAGAGGTATAAATGCATGATATTTTGTGATAAGCAGCAGATTAACCTTGACAACAACAGGTAATCGATAACAAGTAGCATACAGATAATTGGATGAAGCCAGATGTACAGTAAGAATAACAAATAGCACACAGGTAATGAAGCTAGATGTACAGTAAGAATAACAAATAGCTGACAGGTAATGAAGCCAAATGTACAGTAAGGATAACAAATAGCACACAAGTAATGAAGCACACAGGTAATGAAGCCAAATGTACAGTAAGAATAAGAAATAGCACACAGGTAATGAAGCTAGATGTACAGTAAGAATAACATAGAGCACACAGGTAATGAAACCAGATGTACAGTAAGAATAAGAAATAGCTCACAGGAAATGAAGCCAGATGTACAGTAAGAATAACATAGAGCACACAAGTAATGAAGCAAGATGTACAGTGAGAATAACAAATAGCTCACAGGTAATGAAGCCAGATGTACAGTAAGAATAACAAATAGCACACAGGTAATGAAGCCAGATGTACAGTAAGAATAACAAATAGCACACAAGTAATGAAGCAAGATGTACAGTGAGAATAACAAATAGCTCACAGGTAATGAAGCCAGATGTACAGTAAGAATAACAAATAGCACACGGGTAATGAAGCTAGATGTACAGTGGGAATAACAAATAGCTCACAGGTAATGAAGCCAGATGTACAGTAAGAATAACAAATAGCTCACAGGTAATGAAGCTAGATGTACAGTGGGAATAACAAATAGCTCACAGGTAATGAAGCCAGATGTACAGTGAGAATAACAAATAGCTCACAGGTAATGAAGCCAGATGTACAGTAAGAATAACAAATAGCACACGGGTAATGAAGCTAGATGTACAGTGGGAATAACAAATAGCTCACAGGTAATGAAGCCAGATGTACAGTGAGAATAACAAATAGCTCACAGGTAATGAAGCCAGATGTACAGTAAGAATAACAAATAGCACACGGGTAATGAAGCAAGATGTACAGTGAGAATAACAAATAGCTCACAGGTAATGAAGCCAGATGTACAGTAAGAATAACAAATAGCACACGGGTAATGAAGCCAGATGTACAGTAAGAATAACAAATAGCACACAGGTAATGAAGCTAGATGTACAGTAAGAATAACATAGAGCACACAGGTAATGAAGCTAGATGTACAGTGGGAATAACAAATAGCACACAGGTAATGAAGCACACAGGTAATGAAGCACATGGGTAATGAAGCCAGTTTACAGTAAGGATAAGGATTGAAAGGATTAAACAGTTCTGACAGACTGACTAGATCCTAAATATAACAGTCTATTATCTGATTAGATATTCATAGGCAGACGAGATGTAAAGCCCTTGATCTCTGGTGATCAAAGGTTTGTAACGGCAGATTTTTATAGCTCTTGGGCATTTTCTTTTGATGAAGATCTGATGTTTGGTTTGGGGAATTTGATGGCAAGGGAATTTTTGCTGGTGGTCTGAGAGGGCTGAGTTGCTGTCTGCTTTGGTTGTTGGAGTCTTATGTTCTTTGATACGGGTATCTACTGGGCAGGAGGTTA